CCCACTTTTTCTACATGACACGCACAGGTTGTCCTTAGATGCCCAAGCTACGGCAGATCTAAACATGTGGAAGAGGTTTTTAACCACTTGGAATGGTAAAAGTATGTTCCTCCCTCAATTGACTGAATCATCTCCTACCATTTGGTCAGATGCGGCATCTACCACTGGTTTTGCAGCAATTTTTGGGAACGAATGGCTTTGGGGCAGCTGGCCTTCAGCAGTTCTGGATTTGGAAGGTTTTTCCACTACCTCAGCTCTTTTTGAGATCTACCCCATAGTGGCGGCTGCCGTAGCGTGGGGTCATTTATGGGCTAATACGCCAGTGCGTTGTTACTCAGACAACCAGGCGACCTGTCACATCATCAACAAAGGTCGTTCCAAATCTCTTACGATTATGAGATTTCTGAGGAAACTCACTTGGTTGGCAGCTTGTCATAATTTCTTCCTATGTTGTTTCCATGTGCCAGGTGTATATAACACAGCTGCTGACAGTTTGTCTCGCTTTAAATTTCAGGAGTTTCATCAAGCACTCCCGTCAGCAGCACCCACAGCCACCATCACTCCAACATTTCAACAACTCATACTGGACTAGACGTCATCATGCAGCATAGCAGGACATTGTCTCAGTTGGCACTTTCACACAATACAAACAAAACATACAACAGGGCTTTCACACTATTCAAACGATTCCTTCTGGAACATAACATCATACAACCGTTTGTTATGACATCTTTTTTGGGGTTTGCTTCCTTTTGCCACCTTAAACTCAAATTGTCATATAACACCATCAAACTCTATCTCACTGGCATTCAACACCACATGCTCATCTTACACCCAAATAACAACAGTTTCATGGCCTCTCACCAAATTAAGACCATACTCAGAGGTATTCAAAAATCAGAACCCACACATTTGGCCCAGAGGCTACCCATAGATAACCATATCTTCAAAGCTTTATCTAACCTACTCGACCTGAAACCGTTTGACACTAATACGAATTCTATCATCAAAACAGCAATATACATCGCTTTCTATGGATTTCTACGACCCAGAGAATTCACTACGACCTCCACGACCCAAACCACTCCATTCCTCCTCTATTCCCACTTGACAAAACATATGGATCATTACATCCTGTCTTTACCTCACTCCAAAACCAGCCAGCACATACCTGTAAACATTCCGTACTACCCCACGCACAACAGATGGTGTCCCGTAAAAGTTCTTGATGCCTACATACAGCACCATCACTTACTGCCCTCGCAACCGTTATTACAACTACAAGGTGCAGTACTCACCACTACAACCTTCATGACCTACGTCAGGTCCTTGCTCACACAACTGGGCCTCAACGCAAACAATTACTCAGGACACTCCTTTCGTATAGGAGCCGCGTCCACAGCCTCCAGTTTCAACGTCCCAACTCATGTTATCAAAACACTGGGGCGCTGGAAGTCATCCGCTTACTCACGGTACATACCGAACCCAGTACAAGAGTTAAGAGATGCTTTCATAAACATGTCTGGTTGATAAATGTATATGTATTGGTTGTCTGTTAATAAATTGGATTACTTAATTTTTGCCCTCTTCTTTCTCAGGCCTACCTCATCGTCGGTTTCGGCACACCACAACCGACTTGCTCCTTTTATCATCCTACGCTTATTCATGGTATTTCACACTGTACTATCTTAAGCACCTAACACAAGTATTAAGGCAATTTGCCTGCATTTGTGGGAGGTGCTGGTTTTCTACCCCTAGCCTACTTAAGGCACTCCCCTTGCCTGGCTCCTTACCGTTCGAGGTCAGCGTTGAATGACCCTCCCACCACACCACTTTTAACATTTATTTTCCTTTCTATTTCTTTTCCTGGGTGGGCCCTCTTCTTTCTCAGGCCTACCTCATCGTCGGTTTCGGCACACCACAACCGACTTGCTCCTTTTATCATCCTACGCTTATTCATGGTATTTCACACTGTACTATCTTAAGCACCTAACACAAATATATATATATATATATATATATATATATTTGTGTGTGTATAAAGTGTACCATCTTCTGCACTCTGCTTGGTTTTTTTTCTCCCTCGCCCCCCTCACTCTGCTCTTCAGAAAGATATTTATGATCCTCTGCAAGAATGGTGTCTATTTTCTAACAAACCTGTATCATATCTGCACTCATGTCGCTTTAACCCCTGTATCACAACTCACCTTTGAATTCTCTGTGTTGTCTTGCTCAGAAATGCTTCAGACTTGAGAACGGGAGGTTCTCCCAAAAGCTTGTCATTAAAAAACTCTGTTAGTCCAATAAAAAAGGTATAACAAGATACAAATTTTATCTGTTTTTTACATCTATATATAGACGACACATAGAGTTCGAAGTTGAGTTGTGATACAGGGTACAGTTGTTAAAGCGAGATGAGTGAAGATAAGACACAGGTTTGATAGAAAATAGACAACATTCTTGCAGAAGGTCATAAATATCTTTCTGAAAATCAGAGTGAGGGGGAAGAGGGAGAAAAAAAACCCAAGCAGACAGTGCAGAAGATGGTATACTTTATACACACACACACAAATATATATATGTTTATGCAAACACATAAACACATGAACACATATACATATACATACACATAAACACATATACATATAGTATCTCACAAAAGTGAATACACCCCTCACATTTTTGTAAATATTTTATTATATCTTTTCATGTGACAACACTGAAGAAATTACTCTCTGCTACAATGTAAAGTAGTAAGTGTACAGCCTGTATAACAGTATAAATTTGCTGTCCCCTCAAAATAACTCAACACACAGCCACTAATGTCTAAACCGTTGGCAACAAAAGTGAAATGTCAAAATTGGGCCCAAAGTGTCAATATTTTGTGTGGCCGCCATTATTTTCCAGCACTGCCTTAACCCTCATGGGCATGGAGTTCACCAGAGCTTCATAGTTTGCCACCGGAGTCCTCTTCCACTCCTCCATCACGACATCACAGAGCTGGTGGATGTTAGAGACCTTGAGCTCCCCCACCTTCCATTTGAGGATGCTCCACAGATGCTCAATAGGGTTTAGATCTGGAGACATGCTTGGCCAGTCCATCACCTTTACATTCAGCTTCTTTATCAAGGCAGTGGTCATCTTGGAGGTGTGTTTTGGGGTTGTTATCATGTTAGAATATTGCCCTGCGGACCAGTTTCCGAATGGAGAGGATCATGCTCTGCTTCAGTATGTCACAGTACATATTTGCATTCATGGTTCCGTCAATGAACTGTAACTCCACAGTGCCAGCAGAACTCATGCAGACCCAGACCATGACACTCTCACCACCATGCTTGACTGTAGGCAAGACACACTTTTATTTGTACTCCTCACCTGGTTGCCGCCCCACAAGCTTGACACCATCGTAACCAAACAAGTTTATCTTGATCTCATTGGACCACAGGACATGGTTCCAGTAATCTATGTCCTTAGTCTGCTTGTCTTCAGCAAACTGTTTGTGGGCTTTCTTGTGCATCATGTGTAGAAGAGGCTTCCTTCTGGGACGACAGCCACGCAGACCAATTTGAGGCAGTGTGGGGCACTGACAGGCTGACCCCCCACCCCTTCAACTTCTGCAGCAATGCTGGCAGCACTCATACGTCTATTTCAGAAAGACAACCTCTGGATATGACGCTGAGCATGTGCACTCAACTTCTTTGGTTGACCATGGCGAGGCCTGTTCTGAGTCAATCCTGTCCTGTGAAACTGCTGTAGGGCCTTGCCCACCGTGCTGCAGCTCAGTTTCAGGGTTTTGGCAATCTTCGTATAGCCTAGGCTTTATGTAGAGCAACAATTCTTTTTTTCAGATCCTCAGAGAGTTCTTTGCCATGAGGTGCTATGTTGAACTTCCAGTGACCAGTATGAGAGAGTGTTAGAGCGATAACACCAAATCTAACACACCTGCTCCCCATTCACACCTGAGACCTTGTAACACTCACGTGTCGCATAACACCGAGGAGGGAAAATGGCCAATTGGACCCAATTAGGACATTTCCACTTAGGGGTGTACTCAGTAATGTTGCCAAAGGTTTAGACATTAATGGCTGTGTGTTGTTATTTTGAGGGGACAGCAAATTTACACTGTTATACAGACTGTACACTTACTACTTTACATTGTAATAGTGTCATTTCTTCAGGGTTGTCTCATGAAAAGATATAATAAAATATTTACAAAATTGTGAGGGGTGTACTTTTGTGAGATACTGTACATGCACATGAACTCATATACAGAATATAAATGCACAGTCACATATATAAGCATACATGCATAAGAGTATGGGAAAGCATAGGTCTACACATAGTACTTATATATTGATATTGGAATGTGTTTTAAAGTGTTGATACATATGACAGAACAGTAAGATAATGTGGGGGAGTGTTCATGTAAAGTGTTGGTAGTGGGACAGGAAACCCAAATCAATATTTAGTATTTGATCATTCTGGCTTCAAAAGTTTTTCTTTCTTGGGTATTTTTCAAACCCCCTTTCAGTACTTTGCTTTTTAGGTCCTTCATTGAGTGTCCAGGCTGGGTAAAATGGTGTCCCACAGGAGTGCAGTACGATTCTTCTTGTGGTGTTTAACCCCTTAAGAACCAAACTTCTGGAATAAAAGGGAATCGTGACATGTCACACATGTCATGTGTCCTTAAGGGGTTAATGGAGTGTCTGTGCATATTCATTCTGCAATTAAATTACTGGATGGTTCCCCAATGTAACATCCTAGGTGGCATTTGGTGCATTTAAGCATGTATATCACATTGCTGGATGTGCAGGAGTATGATCCTTTAATGCTGTAGGTTTTATTGTTGTATGTGGCTGTGTTGACTGTGCATATGTGCTGACACAGTTTGCAGCGAGGTTTTTTGCAGTAACCTTTTTTCACATTGAAATTTGCCAGATTGGTTATGTTGCTTTCGAGACCGTATGGTAGTACAGGAATGAGAATTACCCCCATGATAGCATACCATTTGCAAAAGTAGACAACTCAGTGTATTGCAAATGGGTTATGTCCAGTCTTTTTTAGTCGCCACTTAGTCACAAACACTGGTCAAAATTAGCGTTCAATTTAGCTTTATGCATTTTTCACACACAAACAAACTTATGCCAGTGTTTGTGACTAAGTGGTCACTAGAAAAGACTGGACATACCACATTTGTAATACCTTGGGTTGTCTACTTTTGCAAATGGTATGCCATCATGGGCATAATTTTCATTCCTGGACTACCATTTGGTCTCATAGGCAACATAACCAGTCTGGCAAATTTCAATGTGTATAAACTGAAAATGTAATGTGCTATATTTGACCCTGTAACTTTCTAAAACACCATAAAACCTGTACATTGGGGGTACTGTTTTACCCATGAGATATCGCTTAATACAAGTATGTGTACTTTATTGCAGTATCAGCTAACAGTATTGTGACATTCACAGTTAAAGTGCCATGCAGAACGAAAAAAAATAACATTTCTTATTTTCTTAAGTTTTTTTATATTTTATTCATATTAAATTATGCTTAATATACAAATATTAATAATGATGTGACATGAAAGCCCTGTTTCTCCTGAACAAAATGATATATGATAAGTGTGGGTACACATAATATCTAAGGGGTGAATTACGCCTGAACAGATATATAGTGCAAATTCAATGTTTTTTTTACGTTTTGATTTGATCACAACTTGTACAATTGGCTCAGTCCTTAAGGGGTTACGTTTCTTTAAGTATAATTTTTGTTTAAAAAAACATGAAGTGAAAATTTCATGACAGTTGTCCTTTAAGCACTTCATTCTTGTGGCTGAGTGAGCCGAGGCACGCAAGAGATCCTGCAAAATGAAAACTTGTTATCCTTTTTTTAATATTTAAACATTCTTTAGTTATGTATAGTAAGGCAATCAGCCTGCACATGCAAAGTATGAACATTTTGTACATTTTGTTTAGAATAGTAAACAATACAAAAACAATAAGGAATAAAAACAAAGGTTATGACAGAAAGTATGTTCATGCTGGCCCTTGGGATCCTCAACATTCTCAGTAAAGTAATGATTGCAAGGAAGCTTATATTGCGCCTTTGTGGATTATACATGTTCTAATGGGATTCATTGTTGGATGCAATTTCGAACACTCTTGGCACCACAATCACTTTATCTCTTTGATAAAACAATCTAGTTACATTGAAACAGTGAACTATGGTCTCTGGCACGTCCCCAAACTTCTGCTTAAAACTCTGCCCAGGCTAACGCTTCCTCGTTAAACCTAGTTGCTATGGGGGTAGTTGTATCCCGCCACATAAACGCATAGCAATGCACTTATTGCTCGTATAGATTGGTATGGCTGAAAGTGGAGGCTAAGGGCCAAAGTTAGTGATAATTTGTGTTTCTATGTTTCTTTGTTTTACTATAATATTATTTTATCAGTTTAAAACCTTAATTTCTCATCACAGGAATTAAAAAAAAAATGGATATTGCTAAGGATATCTAATAGGCAACAACATCCTCGTGAGATTTAATAATGAGTGGACTAGATTGAACATTTGTTGTTAGTAACCTGCTTGGGGCCATAGGTAGCTGTGTCAAGAATCACACAAATTCACCTCACTTCAAAGCCACTGTTTCCAATGAATCCACCCCCAGAGTCTAAACAGGTTGGAACAGAACAAAGATCCACATATTCCTTTATGGAAAACAAATAGGGGAACGTTATTTGTCCAGCTGCCTGTTTAGGATGGGTAAAACTCACATTTGTTTGGGTGTTTGACAAACCATTCATTTAGGTAACATTCCACTTATGCTAATAGACCAGGCTTGACTTTCAACATGCCTTTGCCTGATATTATCATTGTTTAGGGGAAGATGATCACTGTGAAGCATACAAGTAAATGTCTTCCATCCATGGTGTGCTGTGGGAATAATACACCGAATGAGTATGCAGGAGAGATTATCCTTGAATGGTGACTGAATCTAAAATATACACAGTTTAGCTAATTCTGTCTCTAAAACAATGAGTTGTGCACTAACAGATGCACTAACAGATGCCAAACAACCAATATTTGTCTAATTACAGATTTCTTATTTAAAGTTGAACATGGTTAACATCCTACAGCTGTGTTTTGATGACATCATATTAAACTGTCTTATCTTTTTTTGTCTTTTCATTTTAATTACTCTATATTATCCATTGCTGGAAGTGAAGTTATATGAAGCCATTTAAATAAGGTGGAAATCTGATCAAGGGGAACATTGAGTAAATACACTGTGGAATACACCTCCAATAGTCTCATTTTAGTTTTCTGGGATTACTAGAGAACCTCTCACCCCCTCCCTCCAGCCAACTTTTGCATGATAATTGTAGGGCATTTCTGTCCATGGGAAAGTCCTTCCATAGAGCATTGCACATGGGCAGCTACTTTTTCTTGCCTTGTAACTGGGTCTGCCTGCTTATACACATCTCTAACTTGGTTTTAATATTGCTAATTTTGAAAGGTATGCCCTGGAGTCATTGGGTTAAAGCATTTTAATCATTATTATTATTACTGTTATTAATAAAGCTCCAACATATTCCACAAGGCTGTACAAGCATAGAACCCCCCCCCCCCCAAAATAGTACAATATTGACAAACCAATACAAAAGGAAGAGAGGACCCAGACCCTGCCCGTGAACTGACATCTAAAATCTTTACAACCCTTTCTGCAAAGTCCTAAGATAGATGGCTATACATTTAGGACAACATCTGCCATTAGGAGTAAAGTTTGGGGGATTAGTGACCCTGATTTGAAAGAAACCACAATATATGATCACATTCCATAGTAGATGATACTTTATATCTTATTTTAGCCTACAATGACACTCAATATTTTAATTTCAGCTATCTCAAGTTTTTCCACTTGTTGATCTAATGGATTGGATAGGATTATGGATTTTACAAAATGTGTCTTCTAAACAATATATAAACAATCCTAGTAGTAAATTCTTTTTTAGTTTTGGCAGTTATTGCTTCCCATAGTATTGTGCCCTCTAGTTCCACATCCAAACTCTCTAATGAATGAAAAAGTGTAGCTAGTTATTCATTGCCAATCCCCAAGGAAAAACTGACCAAGCTTCCTGTAAATCTATTTTAATATCTGTATTTGTAGACAGTGAATCTCTGGATTAAACGGACACTAAAGGCACCCAGACCACTTCAGCTCATTGAAGTGGTCTGGGTGCAGAGTCCTTGTTTCCCTTTAAGTTTTAGGGAAATGCCAATCATTACATTGCAGGACTATGACTGCCTTTAGAAGCTTTTTGTCTTTCATATTTGCTTTTAGAAGCTGTCAATCAGACAACCACTAGAGGCACTTCCTGGTGGTTGAGTGACTTTTGGTCGCCTAACTGATGCTGGACGGCCTCATGCTCTACATGTAGGCATCCAGCGTCCATAAAATCCTCATAGGAAAGCATGGAAGCAATGCGTTCCTATGAGGAGGCGGAACACTGCCCAGCACTTAAGGAGATTGGTGCTGGAATCAAGTAAGTGTTAATTAAAAGTATTATCTTAACTCTTTCTATGGTAGGGGAGGAGAGCGATGGGTATTGGGGGGCCCAGAGGGATCTGTAGTGTAAGAAATAAAACATATTCAGTATAGAATGCATTTAAGTCTCTATGAAGGAAAGACAACCAGCATTTAGGATACAGAGAAACCTATCGTCCATGTTGAGTGATATGATATCAGAGTGGGTGGTATGTAGGGCTGAAGTGACGCTTGCTAGACAGTTGGCATTGCAAAGGTGGCACATCAGACAGATGTGCATGCACATTGCTTTGACAGGCAACTCTGCAAGCAAGGGAACCAAAGTTGCCAAAAACCAAAACCAACAAAAATATTTCTCTTACACAGGGCTCTAAATTACCACAAACCTAGCCATTGGCAAATGAAAATATATCCCTGGTGAATAGACATGCATCTATGATGAGTGTGTCATGGGGCCTCCAAGGGTGCAGTGGTAAAAATATTACGTGCTGGCTAGTAGTGTAGGAGTCCACTTTACGCCCTGCTCTATCATACCTGAAATGCATGTGTTCACTCAACCATATTCTTCCAGTAATTTCATAGGTGAACATGCTCGATAGTGAATTACTCAATGCATGAGCATGCACATCTCTTAAATCTTCCTGGATTAATTTATCACTTTTTGTTATCACGAAGGTGTCAAAGAGGGAGAAAGCTGTACTCCCAGGTAATGTTTTGCCCATATGCTGAGTGAAAGTGACTCATAGAGTTATTCACTAAAGAGGAAGTTATTGTGAATTTAAAGTAAATTTCAGATTTCAAACTTGCCAAACTAGAAAAATACGTCTAGTCGACTGTGCTTTAGGTTTGTCTATTATGGCCTAAAATTGCAATTCACATTGAATTTACTTTGAATTCATGACAATTTCCACTTTAGTTAAAATTCCTACTATGATCCCACTAGCATCCCACTTTTTAGAAAGCTGATAACCTGCAAAACACATGCTGTTTTCTCTCTTTTTTGCTTTCCCCCTTTTAAACGTCCCAGCGCAAACTAGAGATGAGGAAATAAAGGCAACTCATATATTTGCAACCTTCTACAAGGTTTTTTTTCTACAAGGATATTGGTAAATTAATTTGATACCTCGTGCTGCTTCTGCATTGTTGTTAATCTGCTACATGATATTGTTTTCATTTTTGACGGCGTCCACTTATCTGCAATCAAGCTGTTTTCAGCATCCCCATAAAATTATTGCTGTATTGTATGTCTTTTCAACTAACCAGTGCTTCCTGTTTGATTAATTCAAGAAATAAAGTACACATAAGCACTGTTACACTAATTTGATTTAATAATTAATTGATAGCTAAATAAAAACGCATATTCACTGTATAGGAAATGTCTACTTTGAACATCCTTAAAGGAATACACACCATAACAATATTTGTGACACGACAGGTTAAAGTAACACTCAAGGTGCCATGACAAATTCATATCAATAAAGCTGTTATGGTGCCTGGAGTCACCCGGCGTAGTCTACCTTTATCAGTCAAACTGTACTTGAATGATTTAACATTAATGATTTGTCCCCACTGATTTTCTGAGAGCATTAGCTGACTCTCTCACCCCTTCACTGGCTGCTCATTGGAAGCAAATATAATGGTTAAGGTGTTTAGTATGCCCCTTTAAGGACCACTTCTTTACTGG